TCATAACAGCTTTTTATATACACCATCTGTCAAGCTCTTCAGTATGTCAAGATGGAAATGTGGTGATAGTATGTTCAAAGTATTTCATCACATAGAAATGATTAAAGTGAAAAACCTGTCTACATTTCTCACTTCCATTAACATCTGGAAAGAGGTACATTTCTTAAAGTTCGAAGCAAAAATTACTATGCTCTAATATAAAGAATGAACTTTCTTCAGGAAAAGCTTTTTTGAATATCACCATTTCACAGACTGCACCTACTTGCTGTATTTTGTAAAAACAAACCAAAAAAACACTTTTGTGATTATAGCGGAGAATGGCTAACAAATAATAAACTAATTATGAAGACAATGTGCAGTCCTTTGTGTGATGTATCATGCTATGTAATTCGAATTCCAAACATAAACCAGTCTTTTTTTATCAGCCTTCATCAATTCAAGTACTGGAGCCTCAACGGTGTCTGCATAAACCATGACTACTCTACTCTTACAGTACATCAATTTAGTGAGTTAAGATACCAGTTGTTGATTTATTTGGCGTAAGCTACGTCCAAACAGTAGCCTGTGTGAGTTCTGGGTCAATAAACCGTTTAATTCAATAACTGGAGAACTGTTGTGGACATTCTTTCATTTATGAAAAACTAAATGTTTTTCTGATACTCGAAAACACAAACAAGATTGAATTTACAGTATATGGTCATAAAGAATGTGCTTTATGTAACAGTAACCACGTTTCCATCCAGTTTTTATGCGAGTGAAGTCATACCGAACAAAATAAAATCACGACAGCTGTCATGGAAACAATTTTATAAATGCCGACAGATCATTTGTTCGTTCAACATCGTGTGATCCTTTTGTGTCGGTAAAATTCATTTTGTGAGAAATGGCGGTGGAAACTCCTTTAAGCACAAATATTGATATAACAACCATCATATCGGTGTAAACTTGGAGTCACGCTATGATATGGTGTGTGGTCCTCCCACTACGACTCCGGAAACCATGCAGTTTATTACATGCTGACCACACCGCACGCGTCGCAAAATAAATGTATACATACATGTTATTCAATCACTGCACCCACACTTTTAATTGTTGGAGTAGAGGACCTTGTGAATTTCAGGTAAAATAACAACCCAATGTTTATATCCCAGGACAAATTAGCTAGCAACAGCAAGCTAGCTAGCTAAAATGCCATAAATGTTTAATGCTTTTCGACCTGTCCCCAAATTAATATAATTGGTTCAGAGTTTATTTTGATATTTCAACATGCGTGTCCTGATCGCGTCTGGTGTGGGGGGCCAAAATAAACTTGCGCGCGATGGCGGACGCACGCGTGCACGGTGATCTTGGTGCTTCTTTCCAATAAATATTGAGGGTTTTATTCTGGTAACATGATTTAATTAATTATGCCATTTAGCAGACGCTTTTATCCAAAGCGACTTACAGTCATGTGTGCATACATTTTTTTTAACGTATGGGTGGTCCCGGGGATCGAACCCACTACCTTGGCGTTACAAGCGCCGTGCTCTACCAGCTGAGCTACAGAGGACCACATGATGATAGATGCTTGACTATCGTTTGACAAATACAAATATTATCCATAATAATCTCATCATGTAGACTAGCCTACCTGGCCGCACAGACTACCCACACTGTATCTGCGAGCTGTTGGCTAGAGCGCACGTCCCAAGATGCTATTTAACGCAACAGTTTGCGACAAAACTATCAGCTGAAAATGCGATGGAAACACATTGAATTTAGATTTTCATTCGGTACATGTAAATTAAGCGAAAAAGTACATTTTGTGTGCACTACGTAATCACGCACTGATTTTTATCAGCAACAAGTCAGTTTGGTGGAAACACACCACTGGTGGAAAAAATTGCATATTTCCTTTTTGCTGATTTTAGAATATTCACATGAGAATCTGTCGCTAATTGTATGGAAACCTAGCTAGTGTGTGGATGACAACATAAGGCTGTTTGTTTTCAACAGTATGACTGTTTTCCTCAGCAATTTCAATCCATACTTAATAGTATGGTGATACTGAGTATCATGAGATCCCTCCCTTAGATCTTATTTAATGTACAACCAAATGTTCAATATCAATTCACACGAGGCGGCATGGCCTTCGAGAATGTTTCGATTTTTTTGGGAAAACCAGTAAGATGAACTTCAGTAAACAAGTTGAACACCAAGCATCCATAACTGCATTTGGAACATTTTATTTCAGTCATAATTTTAAAATAGATCTCCAGCAACACAAACGTATGCATTATATCCTTGATAAACCTGTGAACAATGAAGTTCCAATATTTAAGTACTAGCCTTTTATGAGGCAACAACTTGATACACAGCCATATTGGAGGCACTTCATATTCAGATAGTAGACTAACAACACTGACCAGACACTAATATATATATTTCAAATGAACAATATAGCTGTACATTGTTCATTTCATTGACTATGTTTCCAGCTCTCCTGGTAATATTTTGAGATGCTGTCAGCACTGGATGCATGCGTTAAATAACATTATTTATTGGAGCACTGACTTGAAGGCATGCGAAGATAGTCATAGAAGCAAGAGCACTTTTTAATGGAAAGAAAGTAAACAGTTGAAGAAAATGTCCTATAGATTTTTGCCATTTGGTTTGCGTTACACATAAAGGCAGAGTAAATACTATTTTGAGAACTTTATATTATTCTGTTATCTACAGTTATCAATAACATACTGTAGCTCAGATATGCCAATGCATATCACAAATCATCCTGAATTAAATGTTTGCTTTAAAGAAAGCCATTTAGAGATAGGCCTAGACGAAGGCCATTGCATGGGAAATCATAAGGTTCTCTTCAGGCATAGGCAGCGATGTAAGCTATTAAGGTATAGGAGATAAGAATACTTAACTCACTCAGAAGTGAAGAGAGTCGACTAACAGCATCAGTGGCAAACTCATGAGGAAATAACTTTCTCATTTGAAGTCTGTCAACAGCATTTACACAGTGTAATTGATAGAGAGAAATGCATGGTATCAGATAAATTGTTTGAGGGCGGTGTTCTAATCGCTAAACTAATCCTTAAGAATGAATGTGTGGGAAACCGAACAAGATGTGTACGTATTGCATTCTTTACAGATGGAAATGTCATTCAATGTGTCATGTATTTACAACGGCAAAATGTACTGCACATTAAGTAGAAAGTGAGATTTACAAACTTACTAGCCCACAATTTATGAAATCACATGTTAGAGTCAAATCCAATTTGACATGGATGCTTCTCCTGAAATATGCAATATGCAAAGACTTTAATTCTTTGTGTTTCTTCCGAGTTTGAGGGTGAGTCTTTTGAAACCATGGTAACCCTCGGTTGGACATCAAATCCCTAAGAATCTGCGTCACTGAACCAGAGATAAATAAATGGGGATCTGTCCCAAATGGCACCCTATTCCCTACATAGTGCACTACTTTTGACCAGACCCCTATGGTCAAAAGTAGTGCACTATGGAGGGAATAGGGTGCCCTTTGGGACGCTACGGTACTGTACATAGAACACATCCCCGTGTGAAAAGCAAGACCCTAGCTTTTAAGCTCAATGTGTGGCAGTTTGTCTTAACAAAAGGCTGTTCCGATAGATATCATTAAATCAACATCTACATTTCGAACAATCAAGTAAAAAAAAAAAAAACTGTGCTTAAGACAGATCTCTGTCCATATTCTCTCACTTTTCTGTAATACGATTGAGAGTACAACTTCTTCATGAATTAAGTGCAATTGAGTTTTGTAAATACAATGTACGGTGGCAGTCGCATATCTTAAGTAAAAATACTTGTTTCCTTTCATTTACACTAACTATGAAGACAAGAGAGGCTTACATTGTTTTACTCATGGTGGCCAAAAGGAATAAGGCATTGTTTCTCCAATTTCGTTAATTTGGTATGCTTTCTGTAGGCAAGTGTTAAAACTGAATCAAAAAGTGGAAGGGAGACAGAGCCAATGAAGGTCTTTGATGCCAGATTGTAAATGCAGAGCAATGTTAATGACATGTTAGTGAATCATTAAGGCACTTCTCGTCTTTGATTCCATTCTATCAGTCGCCATTCATTTTCAAAAGGCAGTCAAGTGTTGGTGGTGCACAGTAAATTAATTCACAATGAATGCATCATCTACTTTACATACAGATTACATTGTATTACACAGTCACTTTGATATGTAGCTTAATTAGCTGCGAACTTCCATATCGATAATAACAACAGGTCAATATAAAAACCTTTAAAATGTGACATGGTAAATTATGATAGAACGCTGTTACTGTCCCAAAATTATATAACAAACATTGTAAATGTACACTTGGCAGATCTGGTTAGTGTACCAAATTAAATAAAGGGTGAGAATATTTAATGTTATTTTTCCTGGAGTTGGGTTTCATAAGGTAGAGAGTAAATACTGTATGACTGTAAATGTTGGGCACTTTGTAGACACCAAGGTAAAGGGTCTGAACTAAGTCATTTAGAAACAACCCTGTTTGCCCTAGTCGAGGGTTAATCTCTATAATAGCTAAAATAACATTCATGATAAACCAAAACTAAAAATGGCAAACAGTGTAAAACGCAGATGAAAATAATTTGTCTGAACAAATAAAAAATGTATGACGATTTCTCATCTCTTTAAAAAGGACGACACAAAAAGTCCCATTATCTTGTGTTGGCTTTGATTCCTTATGACAGCTCTCCCCATTTGCATATGTTGAAATAGCAACCAGTGCAGCACAACTGATACAGGAGGAAGGGCATAGATAGATTATGCTCTTGAAATGGTCAATTGTGCTTTCATAATACACATACCATTGAAATTTGGATCAACCAACAACACACCGTTGAAGTGCAAAAAGAGTCACAGTTCTAGCTGTTTGTCTCACTGTGGACAATTATTCGGAGCTGTTGTGATCTGTAATGTGTTTGTCTACTAAAGTACAGAAATCCTCATCACCGCTAGCCCCCTCTCACACTGCCGTCTCTTGGCTAGCCTTCAGATCCTTCAGATTAGGGGCAGACATTTGCCTGCGCATTCGAGGTGGTGCCTGAAAATAGCTTTGATGGTTGGCTTGGTCAGTTTGGGGATATTTCTGGTAACTAGTGAAGTTGGTGTTAGCGCCATAGGGCATGCTGTTGTAGTGGCAGGGCTGTTGGTGGTATGGTTGGGGCGGTTGGGCCTGTTGGTTTTGGTAGTGGTGCCGGGGTTGGTAGAAGGCCTGCTGCTGCTGCTTCCTGCTCTTATCAGAGTACTGCAGGGACTCCATGGAGCCGGAGGATCGGCGGTCCATGGAACCATAGTTTCGGCGGTCCATAGAACCAGAATTTCGGTGGTGGTTGAAGGAGTTGCTGCGGCTTCGTTCATGGGGCTGCTGATGGTGGTTTCTATGGCTTTGTCTCTGGCCCTGGCTTTGGCTTTGGCCTTGGCTTGGGCCCTGCTCCAGGTCTTTGCATCTGCGTGGATGCGGGGAGGGGCTCGGCTGTGTTGGGTAGGTGGCTTGAATAACAGGGGTCGCCATTCTCTCTCCGGGCTCTCCCCCCTCCTCAGCTAGCCCCTGGCCTCCCCCCTCCTCTTCGAAGGCCTCTTTGGGCACCTTCAGCTCGATGACCCGCTCGTCAGTGATGATGATGTGGGTGCCAGGACTCCAGGAGTTGCGGTGCGTGGGGTTGCTTCGGAACGGGAAGCGGAGTTTGCGGTCCTCCGGCGGGATGAAGCGGTGGGGGCCGCTCTGCCGGCGGAGCTGCTTGGTGATCTCCTGCTGCTGGAGACTCTTCAGGCGCACCTGCTCCTGCCGCATCCAGCGCATGTGGCCCCGGCGGAGGGTGGAGTCGTCACCCGCAGTCTGGGCAGTTTGCAGTTCGCCCTCCTCCCCTTCGGCCTGCACCAAGAGTCGGCCCTCCCGAGGACTAGGGGTTCTGGGGGCGCTAGCAGGGGGGCTGGTGGTAGGCGGGCTGGAGGTCTGACCCTCTAGGGTGATGAGTGGCAGGACCTTCTCCATCTTGACCATCTTGTTCCTGAGGGCACGGATTTCCACATCCTTCATGTTGTTCTGCTTCTTCACCTCATGCAGAATGTCCTCCAGCTTGTCAATGTGCACCTTGAGGTCATCCATGGGGTCGGCCACCACTCCTGCTCCCCCTCCCCCTCCCCCTCTTCCCCCATCGCCGTTTGTGAGAACATCCTCGATGCGTTCGTCGCCTACCCCGACCGTGTCCCACACGTCCCTGGCCACTGCCCGCCACGAGTCCCGCTCATTGGGGTCCTTCTTGCCGTAGGCGGCGCACAGCTCCTTCATCTTGACGATGGCCAGGGCCTCGATCTCCTGGCGTGTGTGGCGGAAGTCGTTGAGGGCCACCTCGTAGCAGATCTCCTTCACTGCCTGGATCTTCAGGTCGGAGACGGTGACCCACTTGGCGTCCTTGGTGATGCGTCGGTGCTGGGGAACCTGGTACATTTTCACAGGCTCCCGACGCTTCCCACTGCTGGGCAAGCCACACTTTCTGACTATGGACTGCAGCTTGCTAGGAGGCAGCTTTTCCCTCAGGGAGGTGATCAGTCTCCAGCTTTCCTCACAAGACCTCTTATCTGAGTCATCGCCACTATCAGAGTCGCCATCCTTGAAAAAACAAAAACAGGAAACAAACCAAAGAGGTTCCCAACAAAATGGAGAAATTAAAATGGGAAATCAAAAAGAGGAAGGATGGCTTTTAAAAAAAGGAATGATACAAGTATGAATATGCAACATGGGAACTTCTATTGCCACGGGATGTTCTTGGGTAGGATTTAAATTGAAATAATTACTCATTTTTTACATCTGCATATGTTTTTCTAACCATTTTCAGTGTACTTTTTGGTCAGAATAAAAACAAAACCTCAAACTTTCGCATACATCATAATTCTACAAGATGTATGACAAATTGAGGAGGACATGCACTTTCCATGCCCAGAAAAATAAGTCTAGGAAGAAATCATTCATCAAATTCTGGGACAAACCAGCTTAAACAAAAACCTAATACTGACAGTGGCTTCCATTGACTTTCTTTTTATAGTTCTAAGCCCTTGGTTTGCGCATTGGTTCTGGCCTCAGGCTAGTGAGTGAATTCAGAAGATTCCTATAAAATTGTGCTCTTTAGTGTAAAATGATATGGATTTATATAATGTTTAGCTTATTTCTTGGTTGTAACTTTCCTGTCTCTATCATATGCATGTTCTAGTATTGGAAGAATACTATTTTGCAGATGTTACCATCAGGAGTAACCACTGTGGAGCGCTTTCATATTTTGAAATGGGGAGATATTTTATTACATTTTCTTTCTAAAACCTTTTACCTAGTAAATGTACGATCAGGTAGGCCAATATCATTCCCAATGTTGCATATTGATATTAAAAGTAAACGTAAAGCATGACTATCATGATTAGACACAGAATATGAACAGAAAAAGGGGGACAGGTGTTGATCTGATTTGTTGTGTATTATTTCCTCTTCATAATTGACGATTTGGGCACTTGAAAGCGGGATCCCAAACATGCTACAAAGGCATGCAAAAAAAGGCAGCCAAATTTTGGTAGCCTTTCCCCATTCGAAGTCCACGAGAAAGAAGATTTAGAGTTGGTTTTAGAGTTGCTCTAGTGTTAGCAGTGGGTGAGAGGACAAAAGTAGTCTTGCAGTTTTATTGGAAAGCCAGTAGAGAGAATAGGCAGAAAAGTGAGGTTAAGTGTTAATGCATCCACTTCACGGAAGACGTTAGTTGGAAGAAAATGCAGTTTCTCATTTTGGTAGACAAAGTACATTACAGATCACAACCAGAGAGAACAGGAAGTTGATGACTGTTTCTGCGACTAGATCAGAGACATTGGTTGGAAATAGGTGTACAAATACGTGTGTATGCAGTAGGAGTCTGAATATCATACGTTTGTAGTTATGCTCATCAAACCACCAGAGAATTAAAGCATTTTTAGTGATTCGTTGATTAAAACCTGAGCACTGATAATTCAGTTGAGTTATGTCCTCAGTGTGCTTTAACAAAGGCACAGGTGAGGCCAGCATAAGGAAGTGACAAAAGAAGTCAATGAGAAACCACATTGTCGCTAGCCTTCAAAAAGTACTACAGCAGGACTCTTGGTTATCACAATGCATTGTACATATCAGCAACTGCATTGAAGAGCATAGAAACTCAAGACAAAACAGCAAAACACTAGAATAGAAGTCTAAACCAAGACATTCCACAGTAGCCACATCGTTGACCAGCTTAACTGTACATCTCTGCAACTTAGCCTGGGAACGGAAGTGAAGAAAACATGCTACAAAACATGAACCATGCAAAAGCAATAAAGTGTTATCAAAGCTAGATCACTGGCAAGTGTACTGTAATTTTGTTGAGCCAATGATGAGTCAGTACTTGATTAATTCAATTCATTTGAATTGAGGTAATAATAAAACAATTACATTATTTTTTTAAAATTATGTTTTGCAAGGTTCAGTTCAAATCTAGAAGACACAAGAAGAGTGAAAATAAGGATTTGGAACGGGGAAAAATGCTTTACAAAATAATTCTCTCTGAATCAAATTGCTTCAGCAAGTTGGTCGAAATCAGTAGTCAAGGGGCAAAGGCTTGCTCTTCCCTATCTCAGACCAGATAGTGGATTCACACTCCCATGCAAGAGGAACAGACATGCTAAGTAAAAGTAAGCGCTTCTCTCTCTCACACACACACACAATAGAAGTGTCTCAAAAGTGTCAGCACTGAGAGTGAGAAATTAGTGCTAGTCAGACTTCAACAGAGCAAGCAGGACAAAACTAGCTATCAAAATGAACTATCCGCAAAGTTATTATAGGAAAACCATGCTTTAACTTTGTATCCTGCAGCACATTTTGGCTCAACACAAAAACTAAACTATAAGGTATTTTGTGTCCCCCCCCCCCCAAAAAAAAACGGAATTAAGCTACAGGTTACAGAGGCTATAGAAAAGTTAAGTTGCTAAAAGTTTCAAGGCTTACCAGTCTCTGCTGTTCCAGAAGTTGGTCCGCCTCCTCTTTCTCCTTTTTGTACAAGATCTCCATCTCAGTCAATCTAGAATGAATTAAAACACAAAATAAATCCTATTGTATACAGAATTAAAAGTAATTCAAAAACATGCATAGCCATTGAATGAAGTATAGGCCTCAAACACACTCCCACAAGGTCATGGTGGGACTAGTCTAAGCTAGCCACCTCTCAAAGTCCCCCCTTTAAAGCCACAATCCTGAGTCTGTGTTTCAGCCCAATGGCAGCTCTGCCACGTGGTTTGGTACAAATCTAAGGGATGGGGCTAGCTAGGGAAATGTACTCACTCAAATTCGTAGACTAAGCTATGGATGCCAGGTTTGACAGTCCATGAGATCAACATGACTGTATTCGGTCCTGTACATACCTTTTCTCCATCTCCTGCTTCATGTCGATGCCCTGCTTCTCCAGCAGCTCTCTCTGGGCAAAGGTCCAGTCCACCGGCTCTACTGGGGTCTCTGCTGTTGGGGTCTCCTTCTCCTTCTCCTCCTTCTCGGCCCTCGCCTGCTCCGGATGGTTGAACCGAAACACGTGGTTCTTCCCCATGATGATGCGGTTTCCTGTGACGAGGGCATGCGCAAGGTCGAAACAAAACAGGCATTGAGCTCAAAAGTCAAGCTGTAAGAGATTCAGGAATTCCTGTGTCATTGAATAGCAATTCAAATAAACGTTGACACCTTCTCCAGTCTATTTCTATCAGTTGAGAAGATGTCAATGAGAAGATCCTTCACTTTACTTGCGAATGAAAAGAGAACATTCCTGAAAATGCTTCATGAAATACAACTGCATCTGCAGGGGTGGGGAATACACACCTGAGCGAAGCTGCACTGAAGCTCCAACTCTCTTGCCGTTGACATAGGTCTCCGATCCCTCACAAGGCACCAGCAGGACAACCACTGAAGACAAAAAAACGCATCAATACAGCGAACAGTATTAATCCCTATACCAACAAATATGAATAATGCTTCTAATATGAATGCCTTACTCTGCCCAAATTCAATACAGATACAACACCAGACAAATGAGGTACAGATTATAGGTACAGTATATTGAGTGGCATATTGAAAGTGGCATTAGTTGGGCCTGGTCAGGAAATGGCGGCTTCTTCCTTACAAGGTGCTTCAGTGATCCAGGGTGTCATTTATTTATTTATTTTTGCAGACATCCATTTGTAAACATACACAAGTATAATTTGCCAGAACAATTTACTGAAACTGAGGTGTAATGTCCGTCCTCTGGCCACCAACATTTTCGAAACCTCCTCATGCATCCACAGTTTAGCCCATGCAGACACTTGGCAGCACAACGCTTCACTGATTTACAGTGACAAAGCCCCACATGGTTTCTCTCACCGTCTCCATTGGTGTTCCTCTCGCTGCGGAAGATGCAGTGCTCCTCTTTGATGTGGGCTCCGCTCAGAACGATGTCCTGCCGTCTCTCTGTGTCCGCCTGGCCCACCCTGCAGGCACAAGTGAGGGAGGACATTTTGTGAGTGAGTGCCAGAGTGGGTGGCCATTTTAACTAGCAAGTGACAACCCAAGGCTACAGCTTTTTTTGTTGTTGCTTATAACAGGGTTTTACCTCTTCTGAGGTGCTTCGTGTCGTTTCATCTAGGCTCCTGTTGTTCATTATTGTCACCTCAGGTACTGAGGTAACTTAATACTTTATAGGAAGACTACTGTGTGGGAAAGGAGAGCCAGAGGAGGTAATTGACTTGACTTGAGACAATAAAATACGCTGGTGATCAAAGGCAGATGACATGCCACCTTTCCCCAACTTTAAAAGCCCTTCAGGCTGAATACAGGAACAAAAACAGGAAAAGTGAGATGTTTCAGAGAACTAAAAAACCCTTGATGAAAATGTTTTGCAGTAGCTTCTAAACAGCATTCCACTGTGAAGCTCTGGCTCCGGGGTGAAGTTTCTCCTATGTACAGATCTAGGATCAGCTTCCCATCCCAAATCCTTACCTTAAACATTAATGGGGAAAATGCAAAAGTGACCCAAGATCAGTGTCTATGGGGCAACTTCTCCCAACTGTGTTCTGCTGAGTTACCTTGTGATTCCGTCTTTGATGTAATACAGCAGACATTCTGACATCAATGGGTCCTCGTTCAGGTTGACCAGGTGAGGGGTCTAGTGAGACGGAGATTTGAGTGGAGTTCAAGAGTAAGACACTGTTCACATACAGTACTTGCACCAGTAATACGTATGTGAAATACATGTCAATGATATGCATAGACATAAAACAGAAAAATTCAGGAAATCACATTTAATATACCTATGAAGTTCACATCTGCATGATTGAGACAAATTAATTAACTAATACCCCTTCATGAAAGTGGAATGAAAAAGGTCATGTCAATAACATCCTCACGAGGTCTAAAGTCTAGTTTCACAATAGACACCAGACCTGGGCTCAAAATAGTTTTTTTCTTCTTCTTTCAAATAATTTTTAAGCGTTTGGCTTGTGCCTTGCCTGGAGTGCCGGATGGGAGGGATTTGCACTTTTGGGCCTAGTCCATTGCTTCCATTGCGCCAGGCAAGCTCAATCAAGTGTAGTTATTGAGCTTGCTTTTGAAAGAAAACGACTACTATTTGAACCTTTGTCTGATAGACACCACTAGAAACACATCAATGCTACAGTAAGTATCACTGAGCCACCAACCTTCTTGGGGGAAAATACCCCATTAGCAAGCAAGTCAGCATACAAGGCCTCACAAGGCCTCTCTACGAAAAGCTAACCAATGGAGAGGCAGCAGGTGAAAATGAGAGAAAGTGGACGGAGGAGGAAAAGAATGAGTGAAATGAAAGAATATGCAAAAGAAAACAAAACTCCTAGCAGTGAAGGAGGGTTTAAAGTCCTACGAGAAGGGGGAGCTTCAAAGTAATAATTTTCGGATATCAAATACATTTGCTTCAATAGACAGACAGTCACGTTCGATACAGCTGACGTGGCAGAGATGACTAATCTAATCTCCCTCTCGATCGTGACTCCACTGACGAGAGCACTTGTTGTTCTTTTCATTCGTGCCTTGTGATTGCTGCCTGCCTGTGCGGGGGAGATGGGTGTAGGAAGTAGAAAGGGAGAGGGAGGAGTGCAGAGGTGTACAGACAGATTCTTCACCCACTACTCAATAAGCCCCGTCTGTCTCTATAGCGTCTATCGGTCTGGGAATCTGACGGAATGAGTGAGGCCTGGACGACAATTTAGTCCTCTTCACAGAGGATGTGGATAGGGCTGTAATTTCAACATCGAGCTACAACAGCAGTAATCTGAAAAGCTAGATCACAATGTCAGTCAGGCACAGGAGCCTTCCCCATGCAAAGAGCTACTACACTGAATGGACCTTCTCATGTTAAGGCTGTGGCTGTATGAGCACCTACAGCATAGACCATCTATGGGGATCTAAAATGGGACCGTGTATTGTATCACAGTCAATGGGCACATAATGGAATTCTGGTCATTCTTGATCATTCTGCATCACTGTAAAGCCATTTCTTTGTGATGTGAAACATTGCAGATAGAAATGGAATGAAAAGAGCCAACCATTCCCTATTCTACATGACTCACGACAGAATCATAACTGTTCTATACAATACATTTCTACCTGAATGTTCTACAACCTCCTAAACAGACCCCTGATACTGTATGACAGCTGCCAGTAAACTCTACTAGCAATCCTATGGCCACAGAGAGCACTATTCTAGAAAGCGGTTTTCAAGGTTATAATACAAATACATTGCCTGCAGTGTAGCTCAATAAATAATACTTCTCTTCAATTAAATCATGCTACAATACAATAGCAGTACATCTGTGATCTTGCTGAGGAGGATACAAGGCCACAGTAATAATAATAATAATAATAATAATATGCCATTTAGCAGAAAAAGCGTCATTTTGATTAATTACTAAGCTCTACAATATGCTAAACCTGGGTCACTCTCTACGGGGTCTGTCTGGGGCTATCATTTGCATTATCTAGCGGGGGAGTGGTAGAAATCAATATGTAGATTTGATTTCACAAACCTGTTTAGTTGAAAAACAATCAAAGTCCTCGTCAAACAAGGACTTGGGCCTTTCAGGGCCCATCTAAACATTACCATATGGAGGAAGCAGATAAGAAGGGAATGGAAAAAAGAGAATGAAAATAAAGGAATGGATAGAATAGCAAGTGAGAGCTGAGGGATTGCTCCGGTAAGAAATGACACACACAAATGGAAAGAAGCAACAATGAGGTCACTGAGGATGGAAATGGACATTTAGACCATGGGAAAACAGTAGTGTAGTACGAGACAGTGGCCGTGTTCGAACACCCATACTTGCGTTCTAAATAGTAGGCCATTTATATATGCGAAAATTGAAAGTTTAATACTATGTTAAATTTCGAAACTCAGGTATGCTTTAAATGCCAGGATGTTATACTCTTTTCGGCCTTTCATCTAGTAGAATTCGCTGCATACTTTTGAGGAAGAGAACAGTCTTTCCACACTCACGTGTGTGACAACAGCTGATAATCAGCTGATAATGAGATAAGGGGATGCGCTGTACCCAAATGAACAAATAGCGGGAATCAACGCAATTACGCTTTAAATTACGCATTCTCAGGATGGGTGAGCCTAGTATGTTTATTTGTTGCTTACTGCATTCATTTTTACTAAACAGTACGCTCTAAATAGTATGTATTACGATTAGTACACAGTATGTAGTTGTAGTAAGTAGTAGGCAAGACCGATTTCGGACACGCCAGTGTGTAAAATGGGAAATGGGAATCCCTATCCTGAAATGTCTAACAGGTCTGCTGCTGGGTTGGGGTCAATTCCATTTCAATTCCAGTCAATTCAGAAAGTAAACTAAATTCAACATTTTTGTAATTGAAAAACATTGAAAATAATTGGAATTTCAGTACACTTCCTGAAATAACTGGAATTGACCCTGCCTGCTACACTAGACAAACTTTTGCAGAGCGCGAGACGCCCCCATTGATTTCAATGAAACATAGAAATAGAACTCTGGTTCTATTTTTAAGAATTCGTCTCAAACCAAGAACACTAGATAGAGTGGCTCACGCTCTGCTCACGCTGGTGTAGCAGGTAAAAAAAACCTACTGCTTTTGTGACGCCCCGGTATGGCACATATCCGTTTACCTTTTTAGGAGAGAAGACCCCGAGAGTGCCGCCATCCTCACGGATAGCCACGCCCATCTCAGCCAGCAGGGCTTCCCTAGAGGAGAGAGTAGAGGGTGATGTTAGAAACATGTCCATGTTACATTGGTGGTGGGGCTGGTTACATTCGTTACAGTAGAATCTGAACCGGAAACGTTATCACCATGCAATAAATTGTTGCTAGTAATTTAAAATTGGTGTTACTTTAAGAGATAGAAACAGTCAACATCTGTACAATACAGACAGAATGCGGCACTTGCAGGAAGATACATAATGATCACACAATACATACAGAAATATAGGAATGTGTATTGGGTATGTCCACAGTATAGGTCATTAAGTGTTTGGGTGCTAGTGTTCATCTTTACCATGATATGCTTTGCGAAAGCGTTCTGTCAGCTAAAGTTCCCACGCAATGAAATACAAACCAAACAATTGGCTGGCAAACAATTGTCTCCTCCTGACATACAGTGCAGTCGGAAAATATTCAGACTCCTTGACTTTTTCCACATTTTATTACGTTACAGCCTTATTCTAAAACAGATGAAATTTTTTTTTTTTTCATCAATCTACACACAATACCCCATAATGACAAAGCAAAAACAGGTTATATAAAAAAAAACGGAAATATCACATTTACATAAGTATTCAGACACTTCACTCAGTACTTTGTTAAAGCACCTTTGACAGCAATTACAGCCTTGAGTCTTCTTGGGTATGATGTATTTGGGGAGTTTCTCCCATTCTTCTCTGCAGATCCTCTCAAGCGCTGTCAGGTTGGATGGGGAGTGTCACTGCACAGCTATTTTCAGGTCTCTCCAGAGATGTTCGATCGGGTTCAAGTCCAGGCTTTGGCTGGGCCACTCAAGGACATTCAGAGACTTGTCCCGAAGCCACTCCTGCTTTGTCTTGGCTGTGTGCTTAGGGTTGTTGTCCTGTTGGAAGGTGAACCTTCGCCCCATTCTGAGGTCCTGAGCGCTCTGGAGCAGGTTTTCATCAAGGATCTCTGTACTTTGCTCTGTTCATCTTTCCCTCGATCCTGACTTGTCTCCCAGTCCCTGCCGCTGAAAAACATCCCCACAGCATGATGCTGCCACCACCATGCTTCACCGTAGGGATGGTGCCAGGTTTCCTCCAGACATGACGCTTGGCATTCAGGCCAAAGAGTTCAATCTTGGTTTAATCAGACCAGAGAATCTTGTTTCTCATGGTCTGAGAGTCCTTTAGGTGCCTTTTGGCAAACTCCAAGCGGGCTGTCATGTGCCTTTTACTGAGGAGCAGCTTCCGTCTGGCCACTCTACCATAAAGGCCTGATTGGTGGAGCGCTGCAGAGATGGTTGTCCTTCTGGAAGGTTCTCCCATCTCCACAGAGGAACTCTGGAGCTCTGTCAGAGTGACCATCGGGTTCTTGGTTACCTCCCTGACCAAGGCCCTTCTCCCCCGATTGCTCAGTTTGGCCGGGCGGCCAGCTCCAGGAAGAGTCTTGGTGGTTCCAAACTTCTTCCATTTAAAAATTTTGGAGGCCACTGTGTTCTTGGGACCTTCAATGCTGCAGAAATGTTTTGGTACCCTTCCCCAGATCTGTGCCTCAACACGATCCTGTCTCAGAGCTCTATGGACAATTCCTTCGACCTCATGGCTTGGTTTTTGCTCTGACATGCACTGTCAACTGTGGGACCTTATATAGACAGGTTTGTGCCTTTCCAAATCATGTCCAATCAATTTAAATTTACCATAGGTAAAGTTGTAGAAACATCTCAAGGATGATCAATGGAAACAGGATGCACCTGAGCTCAATTTCGAGTCTCATAACAAAGGGTCTGAATACTTATGTAAATAAAGTATTTATGTTTTTATTGCGGAATACTTTCCGAATGCACTGTAGTGGATGAGCATTTAAAAAATATATATATTCTGTCTTGCTTCCTGTCCCTTAAACATGCTTCTCTATTTTAGAAAGAAGGAAAGAAATAAAGAAAGAAAGGAAAGAAAGAAAGAAAGCACATTGAAAGGAGAGTGTGACAGATGGTTAAGGTCAAAGGGAGACGGAGAGGTTAGTAAAGTGAGAGAGGCGACAGACAGAAAAGGCACATTTCAGAAGAAGGGAGGAGAATCGGGACACAGCCTTTCACTGAAAGTGTCCCATTTGAAAGGACAGACGAACAAAAAGGCATCCTGGGGCTTTGACCCTCCACTGACCTCTCCATTCGTATAGCCTCGGTCTTCCGAAGCTTCTCCTCCCAGGTCTCATTGAGCTCAGCAATGATTTTCTCTGATTCCTGAGGACAGATTGGGGAGTGGCAAGAAAAATAATACATTTAGCATACTGTTATTATTTGGTTCACCTAATATGATAAAATCACCTCTTTATCAGGTTCTATATCCTGAAGAACTTTAAGTATTTTTGGTTTAACAAATCTTTATTCAGCTACTTTAGATACGTTTCTTTCCTCCTCAGTGTTCAAAGTAATAATGAACAAGACGCTACACAGGCCTACCTTTGCTAAGTAGATTATGTGACTGAAACAGCATGGGCACAAGCATGACAAAAAAGTTCCAACCCCTTTATCAACTTGCTGTTATTTTCATGATTTTTTAAAATTCTGAATGCATAATTGGTGGTTTACGCTGTGGTGCTTTGCAACAAGGGGCTAGCACAGGGCTGCAATGCCTAGCTATCAATATACTGTTGGGCTAGCTTTGCAATAGCTTGTAATATCCTACACTGTTTAACTCGCACAAAAACTTATGGTGAGAATATCAAGTCTTAACTGGGGGTTAAGTCAAAACACCCAAAACCTGGGAATGTCATGTGCTCCCTAGTCCTGCCATTGTGTTAATCACTCATTGTTCATCCCAACTATCACCACTGGCTTGCTCACGACCATCTGGCTCTCAAAGCAGGAAGTATGGCCATTGGCCAATAAATTCAACTCCATCCTTTGTAAAGGGTAAACACCCCTACCATCTGTTGTTCTGGACAGAAACTGTCCCCTGGTTCAAATTAAAAAGTCCATGGCTGCATCCCAAATGGCACCCTATTCCCTAAGAGTGCACTAGTTTTGACCAGGGCCCAGAGGGCTCTGATCAAAGGTAGTTCACTAAAAGGAATAGGGTGTCATTTGGGACGCATATACAGCCTACGGAGATTCAGCAGATTATGTGCATCTTTTACAAAGTGTTTTGTTTGAGGGAGGCACATGAAATCAGCTAAATATATTCAGTTACACAATGCTTATGATAGATGAATCTCCCAAAGACACACGGCAACACTAAGTACTATTATCAGTTGAATGTCAGACTAGGAGCAGATAGATAGGATCCTGATGACCAATTTATTTCATGTGAGCACGCAGTGTGCTTTCAGGATATTTTCTGACGCTTTTTACGCTTATTGGCCACCAAGACTAGATCTATTTTGGTCCCATTTCCTCCCCATCTGCGTCGGCGCCCGACGTCATTGGATGACAGACTGGCACCACGGTAGCCATGGAAACTGCAGCTCGTAATGGCTGCATGTTGCCATCCTATGTGCTCCCTCATCAGCAGCTAACGAGGGTGAGAGAGGGAAAGCCAAGGGACAGATATAAAAGAACAGCTGAAGACTGATAGCGTGAGAGGAAGATATTAGTAAGAGGGCAGCTTTCACAAAAGGGCCTTGACATCAAATGGACTGAGATCCATTTGTTGTTTAACAAAATTGCTGCACTTTTCCAAGATGAGTTTTCACACTATAATGTTCTATCCCTCCATTTTTTTATCCATGCATGTTTCTTAAATCTTCAGAGGGCTTCCATTTCAGAAAACAGACTAAGAGCATGGGGTGAATTCTCGACTTTCTATCTTTTCACTTAAAATTCAGGAAAAGATAGGGACTATATTGGTTTTGTTCCACTGTTTATGTCCTTACATAGTTTAGGGGTCTCATCCATTTCAATGATGTTTAATTATGGAATTTAACGTAAAAAGTTGTCTTTTTGACTTTAAAAACTACACTGAACAAAAATTTAAAACGCAACATGTAAAGTGTTGGTCCCATGTTTCATGAGCTGACAAAGATCCCAGAAATTTTCCATACGCACAAAAAAGCTTATTTCTCTCAAATTTTGTGCACAAATTTGTTTACATCCCTGTTAGTGAGCATTTCTCATTTGACAAGATAATCCATCCACTTGACAGGCGTGGCATATCAAGAAGCTGATTTAAACAGCATGATCATTACACAGGTGGACCTTGTGCTGAGGACAACAAAATGCCACTAAAATGTGAGTTTTGTCACACAGATGTCTCAAGTTTTGAGGGAGCATACAATTGGCATGCTGACTGCAGGAATGTCCACCAGAGCTGTTGCCAGAGAATTGAATGTTCATTTCTCTAACATAAGCCGCCTCCAACATCGTTTTAGAGAATTGGCAGTACATCCAACCGGCCTCACAACCACAGCCATTGAAGAGGTGGGACAACATGCCACAGGCCACAATCAACAGCCTGGCAAATAGTGGTCACACCAGATACTGACTGGTTTTCTGTTCCACGCCCCTACCTTTTCTTATTTTTAGGTATCTGTGACCAACAGATGCATATTTGTATTCCCAGTCATGTGAAATCCATAGATTAGGCCTAATTTATTTATTTAAATTGACTGATTTCCTTACATGAACTGTAACTCAGTAAAATCTTTGAAATTGTTGCATGTTGCGTTTATATTTTTGTTCAGTGTAGCTAGTGCTGGGGTAGGGAGGTATACTGTACCTTGAGTCTCTCGATGGCCTCTTCCCCTCCCGGGGTGGACATGATGCGCTCCTGGATACTGGTGACCGACTGCGGGCCAACTAGGCTGCAGAGCGAGCCAGAGGACGGCGAGGCTGTCAGGGAGCCAATAGGGGCTGTGGAGAAATGGCCAGGGCGTTGGTTCTCTGAGGCTAGCAAGTATCTATGCTTATTGTTGTGTATGTCTTTCAGGTCTGAGTCAACAAGAGGAGAGAGGGGCAGGGTCCCAGGAAAGGGAGGAGGGTCACAAAATGACAGAAAAAGGAGAATATGGGGAAGAGGGAGAGAGGGAGAGAAGGACAAAGAGGAGGAAAGACCAGTGTAAGACACACATTGCACGTCAAAGGATGAAGACAGACAACCAGCACAATGGTCAGTTACACAGAGCAGCAGTTTTCTCCCCAGGTGGTTAAAAAGGTTAAAGGACGTTGTTTTGTCAATCGATGTATATGTTGAAATTGGTAAACCATTCCATTCAACGTCTCGCAAAATGACTAAATCGAATTGTTCACTATGTTTGATGGCCACCATTTTTATTTATTTTGCTTGACATTTTTGTCTGAGAATTTGCAGGATTTATAAATCTTAAAGGACACACATTATTGTGGCCAATGAACAGATCCCTCCATCTATCATTACAATTGGGAATTGAACTTGAACTGGCAATACGCTTTTCAAATGCACCTACTAACTTCAATCAGTGACAGATCAGTGGCCCTCCTGTAGCCCAGTTGGTAGAGCGCTTGCAACGCGAGGGATGTGGGTTCAATTCCCACGGGGGGCCAGTATGAAAAATGTATGCACTCACTAACTGTAAGTCGCTCTGGATAAGAGCGTCTGCTAAATAAAAAAATTAATAAAAATGTAACAAAAAAAGACAAGAAACTATATTATGTCGTAATGGTAATGTATTGCACCTAAACAGAACCTTTTTTTCTTAAATTCCAAAATATATACTGGTGTGAAAACTGCTAACATGTACCAACTGGAGGAGGGGGGGGTTATAGGCAGCCAGAGGGCCAGGGAGGAGGAGGAGGAGGAAGGGGGGGGGGGGGTGGGGGGGTGACGGTGTGGAAGTGATATAGATGGAGACACGCTGCCAAAGTTCAGACTGCAGTGCAGTGAGAGTCTCTTCAACTTACCCCACCACACAAGAACAAGTGAAAACCCACCCGCACACACTGACTGAGCCGCCTGTCTAAATGTCAACCAGCCCTTCTCTACAAAATGGCCTCAAGGGCGTTTCAGATGACTGCCCTCTAAACCTCACAGGAAGACAGACTGAAATCTCCACATATTGACTAAAAATGGAATTTGGTAAAAATGGCCACTGAGCAGCAGAGGATAACCTTCTATTTCCTTATCCTCCCATGCAGCCAATTTTTACAATGTCATATAATACAGATAATCTGGAGCACATACATTTAATATTTTTTACCGGAGCGTATGATGGCAATGTGGAGCAGCCAAAGGACAGGGAAGAGGGGGAAAGGGTAGGGAGTTTGGGGAATACAGCTAAAAGAAAGCATATGCTAGCTACAAGAGGACTGAATTCTGTCGAAACACAGCAAACATCTAGATAACACATATCTAAATCGGCTACATAGAAATGAGAGAGCATGCACCTTTCCTCCTGTAGCTCAAAGCTTCAATTTGAGAACTTAGTAGTATTCTAATGTCTTGAACATTGTCACCTGCAATGGATAATTAGTAAAACAACACAAGCTTCATCGGCAAGAAAAAAAAAAAGAGGTTTTCAAAGATGGGTTAAGGACCCAAAGGGTAAGGTAAGTAATGATGTGGGTGGGGGGGAAAGACAAGTTATTATAAGATGGCATTAGAAGTTAAAGCGTCAACGATATTGTCTAGTGCCTTTGTTGGGATATACACCACATGACCAAAAGTATGTGGACACATGCAAAATCATGGCCATTAATATGGAGTTGGTCCTCCCTATGCTGCTACAACAGCCTCCACTCTTCTGGGAAGGCTTTCCACTAGATGTTGGAACATTGCTTGCGGGGACTTGCTTCCATTCAGCCACAAGCACTAGTGAGGTCGGGCACTGATGTTGGGCGATTAGGCCTGGCTAGCAGTCGGTGTTCCAATCAGTGGAGGCTACTGAAGGGAGGACGGCTCATAATAACGGCTGGAATGATCAATGGAATGGTATCAAACACATCAAAGACGTGGTTTCCATGTGTTCGATACCATTCCATTGACTCCATTCCAGCCATTATTATGAGCCGTCCTCCCCTCAGCAGCCTCCACTGGTTCCAATTCAACCCAAAGGTGTTTGATGGGGGTTGAGGTCAGGGCTCTGTGCAGGCCAGTCAAGTTCTTCCACACCGATCTCGACAAACCATTTCTGTATGGACCTCTGTGCATGGTGGCATTGTCATGCTGAAACAGGAAAGGGCCTTCCCCAAACTGTTGCCACAAAGTTGGAAGCACAGAATTGTCTAGAATGTCATTGTATGCTGTAGCATTATGATTTCCCTTCACTGGAACTAAGGGGCCTAGCCAGAACCATGAAAAACAGCCCCAGACCATTATTCCTCCACCACCAAACTTTACAGTTGGCACTATGCATTGGAGCAGGGTAGCGTTCTCCTGGCATCCACCAAACCCAGATTTGTCCGTCGGACTGCCAGATGGTGAAGCGTGATTCATCACTCCAGAGAACGCGTTTCCACTGCGCCAGAGTCCAATGGCGGCGAGCTTTACACCACTCCAGTCGACACTTGGCATTGCGCATGGTGATCTTAGGCTTCTGTGCAGCTGCTCGGCCATGGAAACCCATTTCATGAAGCGCCCGACAAACAGTTATTGTGCTGACGTTGCTTCCAGAGGCAGTTCTGTGAGCTTGTGTGGCCTACCACTTTGCAGCTGAGCCGTTGTTGCTCCTAGACCTTTCCATAACAGCACTTACAGTTGACCGGGGCAGCTCTAACAGGGCAGAAATTTGACGAACTGACTTGTTGGAAAGGTGGCATCCTATGACGGTGCCATGTTGAAAGTCACTGAGCTCTTCAGTACGGGCCATTCGACTGCCAATGTTTGTCTATGGAGATTGCATGGCGGTGTGCTCGATATTATACACCTGTCAGCAACGGGTGTGGCTGAAATAGCTGAATCCACTCATTTGAAGTGGTGTCCACATACTGTTGTCCATGTAGTGTACCTCCGGATTACATAAAACATGTAGGCTACAATTTTGGAATAACTTGAAGGGGTGTCCACATACTTTCGTGTGTATTTGGATTTAATAATTCTGCCTCACCTCCATCATTCAAAAGAAATTGCAAGCACAAAAGCATGCTAACCTAGTGGCATTCTAACCCTTCCCGAATAGCATGAAACCCTTGCACGTCTGAGAATCCGTACATTTAGGCTTAGCATCTTTTGCATTTACATGCAAAACCAGGAGGGTTATTTTCAGGAAAAGGGTGGGTGCAACAGCAATGGTTAGCTATCAGTAGTAAAAGGGGCGAGAGCGAGTGAGGTCGAGAGTGAACCCCACCACAAATATACACACATTTGCTTCCACTTCCAGGGCAATCATCCCCCATAGGCTCAACTGAGGGGAAGCAGGAAGAAGATAAGGGTCAGAGGTGAGACTAGTAGATTAAATTGACTGGGAGGCAAAGGTTACAGACATTTCTGACTGGTCAGAAGGAAATGGGACAGCTTGATGAGGATGAGATGACATGCCATTGAACATGCAGTAAACACTAAATGGTGGATTATTCATTACGTCACACATTAATTAATGAGATTACGTGTTATGTCTCTAATTAATCTAATAACCACCATCTATCTATGTATGTGTAGCTAATGTAATATGAACATAAACCATTGCCATAAACTACCATCTATGATGCATGTTTTGGGGATTTAGCATGTATCAATAAAATGTGTTCATGAATATCTTAACTTCAAGAAATAAATATCTAACATATTGTGTGGTTATTTTAGCAAAAACAATAATCATGCCTTGTCATATTAGAGATAAAACAATGACACAACAGATATGATTTCAATATCATGCTACATCTAGTTTGGCATGTAGAGAACAGGCAGTAGTACGGGTAACACAACGGATACATAGATGATGAATTAGAGAAAGGAGATCAGAGTGAAGAGAGAGAGGGGATGTTGCCAGCTTGTGTTGGACCACTAAGAACAAGGCTACGTCCCATTAGTCTCTCCTTCCTTCTGAAGTGTGTATTCGTTCACTACTCCCCACACATTTTAAAGCATTGGACTGGTTTAGAAAGACTTCCCATATATATAGTCATTTCCTTTCAAATCCATGAAGGGAAGTGAACAAGTGCATACTTCGGGAGAAAAGAGAGATTATTGGGACGCAACCTAAATAGCCTGAAATGTTGGTCTGAAATGTAGACTTCGTGACTGAAGGTGGCGCTGTGATGTGGCACACTCACTGTCCAGGATGTCTCCCAGGCCCTGGGCGCGGAGCAGGTCCTTCAGCCGTGTCACCTCGTCTTTCAGCTCGCGCACAAGCTTGTTGTTGGGGTCCTCGTTGATGACGGCATTGCACTTGATCTGCTTGGCCCGGTCAGCATAGCTAGCAAAGGAAGTGAGCAAAACATGTTTACTACAAATCCTATTGACGTAGCATTGGGCTTGTTCGTCATTGCAGCTGATATTTTAGGCAACTGACTGACCTACAAATCACTTGCATCATAAATAACTACTAATTATTATGTAGATCAGTCAGTTAGTCACAATTTACCCACAATGCATTACAGATAAATTCAACTCAAATACGCTCATTGTCTTCAGAAAAATTTGACACAAGACAATGATTAAGAACTACTAACAAAGCAGTACAGTAACACAATGAAACATACCATAAATTCGCTAAATATGAACTAAACATTTTACAGTAATATTGCATTTTGTAATATTGCATTTTGTGTTATTTCAAAGAGGTGAGCCCTACCGAAGTGTGCTGAGGGTTTCATCATAGTTGATGTCTGCAGGACTGAGGGCAGCTACCATGGCTGTTCTGGAGTTTCCACCTGAGTGAGTGAGAGAAAAAGAGAGAAAAAGATTGGAACAAATTAATTCCCTTGTCACAAATCACGTACAAAGTCATTTACATGATAAATGTGCAGACAAGGTCATTCCCGTGACTGCATCAAAAAAGCTTGAATCTGTTTTGGGATAGCTTGACTCTACAGTGTTATTGTATGGATACTCATTGCTATGCAGTTTTCACTTGGACTGAGCTGATACATTGGAAATGTGCTCCTCATGTTACAGTATACACAGGTTTTCATCTTGACTGACGGGCATATGCCATTCGCTTAATGGTTTAAATACATTACGGTCACCAGATTCTGAATGTATTTCTCATACAGTGCAGTTACATAGTTGGCATGATTTATTATATTCTTACCTAGGTTCTCCCTAAGCAGCCATGTCAGAACCGAGTCTCTGTACGGGATGAAGTCAGTCTTCTTCTTCTTCTTGCTCTGTGTCAAACAAAACCAATGTTAGATGGTGGTGAACAAACAGAAATGGATGGATGGATGTTAGTTTCCCAATGTAAGATGGAAAGAGTGATGGGAGGAGAGGCTGAAGGGAGAGTCTACTGTAAAATGGCAGCATCTTCACACTAAGTGCTGTAGAGGTGATAAAGAACGAATATAGGCCTGATTTCTGAAGATTTTGTTACAGTGCAAAGATTGTCGGTTCCTCCAAAAAGTAAAATCAAATCAAATTGTATTTGTCATATGCGCCGAATACAATGGGTGTAGACTTTAGCGTTAAATGCTTACTTACGAGCCCTTCCCAACGATGTAGAGTTAAAAAATAATAGTAACACAAGGAATAAAATACACAAGAATGGAGTTATATACAGGGAATACCAGACCACTGTGCAGGGGTACGAGGTAGCATTGTACATGAAGGCAGGGTAAAGTGACTAGGCATCAGGATATACACTAAGTGTACAAAACATTAAGAACACCTGCTCTTTCCATGACATAGACTGACCAGGTGAATCCATGAAAGCCATGATCCCTTATTGATGTCACTTGTTAAATCCACTTCAAAATCAGTGTAGATGAAAGGGAGGAGACAGGTTAAAGAAGGATTTTTAAGCCTAGAGACTATTGAGACATGGATTGTGTATGTGTGCCATTCAGAGGGTGAATGGGTAAGACAAAAGATTTAGGTGCCTTTGAACGGAGTATGGTAGTAAGTGCCAGGCGCACCGGTTTGTGTGAAGAACTGCAACGCTGCTGGGTTTTTCACGCTTAACAGTTTCCCGTGTGAATCAAGAATGGTCCACCACCCAAAGGACATCCATTCAACTTGACACAGCTGTCGGAAGCATTGGAGTCAACATGGGCCAGCAACCCTGTGGAACGCTTTCGGCCGCTTGTATAATCCATGCCCCGATGAATTGAAGCTGTTCTGTTGCTAATAATTCGTACACACAGTGTATAATAAGAGTAAAATAAAGAACAGAGTAGCAGCAGCATATGATGTGTAAAAGTATGTGTGTGTGTATATGTGTGTGGCGTGTGTCTGTGTGTCTGTGTGTCTGTGTGTCTGTGAAAGTGTGTGGGTTTTGTGTGAGAGTGTCAGTGTGTATATATAGTCTTGTGAGTGTGCATAGAGTCAGTGCAAGAAAGGGTCCATGCAGATAGTCCGGGTCCATTGCAGATAAAATAAAGGTGATGAGTCAGTGGAGAAAAATGGTCGGATGACAAAATGACACTTTAGCACTGAGACAAAATATTGGCAGAACCCGTCTCTTTTTGGAGGGATCAGTGGTTAGAAATGACTGAACACACAAAGGGTTTACCTTGCTGGTAGTGTAATCCTGGGTATGCAAGTAACACCAGGGGAAGAGGGAAAGAACAGAAGAGCAGACCAAGTTACAACATGCCTTCCTCATGTGGACGACAGTGGCAGAGAGAGGGAGGGGGAGAGAGAGAGAGATAGAGACAGACAAACAGTACTCACCACCTCAGCCAGGGCAGAGATGACCTTCCCTAATGTGGTCAGAGATTTGTTGATGTTGGCTCCCTCCTAATAAACACAAGCCACATAGCAAATATCAATTTATTAGACCCTTAAATAAATCCATAGCCACTTGCGGTATATTTGTGGTATGTTGCTGAAGAGTGGCCTACATCCCTAATAATAATAATAATAATAATAATAATAGCCATTTAGCAGATGCTTTTATCCAACGCGACTTAGAGTCATGCATGCATTCATTTTTCATATCGGTGGCCCTAGCGGGGATCGAATTTGCATTCCTGACGTTGCAAGCGCCATTCTCTACCAACTGAGCCACAAGGGTCCTACCTTTAGCCTGGTGCCTTTGGATCCAGTAGAGTCAGCTCGCTCACTTCCTGCCAAGTCCACCAGACTGATTTTGCTGACCTGGGGCGGGTTAGATGGGAACAATCAGTTTAGGACTAACACACACACACACCATCAGAAACAATATATCCATTGCTTCACATGATTATTTTCTTTAATTACATTCAAAATTAACAGTATGAAAAGTAATATCCTAATCATGAAATTTGCAGTTATAGCTAAATAGTTCACACAATACAACTAGTTCATAACTAGATACAATAAAATGCATACAATGTAATACAATATTAATAACCAAAACAACATTAGCAATTCTAAACCAATTAATACCTAAACGTATACTTTTGTCAAGTCAACTGAAGAGTGACTTCTACACAGAAATCTGATAGTATCTCATTACAATAGTCATTGTGTGTATACTGACAGTGGCTCCTTTGTATCTCCATCACAATCATAGAAAATGTGTGGAGATCAAATTGAGCATTGAGTTGAGAATAGTAGGTTTAACTCAAAGCATTGAGTTGACAAGCATAGGCCTAACACAAAGCATTGAGTTGACAAGCATAGGCCTAACACAAAGCATTGGGTTGACAACCATAGGCCTAACACAAAGCATTGAGTTGACAAGCATAGGCCTAACACAAAGCATTGAGTTGACAAGCATAGGCCTAACACAAAGCATTGAGTTGACAAGCATAGGCCTAACACAAAGCATTGAGTTGACAACCATAGGCCTAACACAAAGCATTGAGTTGACAAGCATAGGCCTAACACAAAGCATTGAGTTGACAACCATAGGCCTAACACAAAGCATTGAGTTGACAAGCATAGGCCTAACACAAAGCATTGAGTTGACAAGCATAGGCCTAACACAAAGCATTGAGTTGACAACCATAGGCCTAACACAAAGCATTGAGTTGACAAGCATAGGCCTAACACAAAGCATTGAGTTGACAACCATAGGCCTAACACAAAGCATTGGGTTGAGCAATAGCCTAACACAAAGCATTGAGTTGACAAGCATAGGCCTAACACAAAGCATTGAGTTGACAAGCATAGGCCTAACACAAAGCATTGAGTTGAGAACAGTAAGCTTAACTCAAAGCACTAGTTGAGAATATTAGGCATAACTCAAAAGCATTGAGATCAAAATAAGCAGAAGGCACTTTATCTAGATGTAGTAGCACGCACAATAAAAATATATCAAGGAGCTCTTTGATGTGCTGTTAGTTGGTAAAATAAATATTTACAAAAGTGCTCCTCCTGGTCAGCCCCTCCTAATTAATCAATTAACAGATCAACAATCTTCAATATTTGTAAGAGGGGGCTTGAATAGACACTGGGAAATGGCAGTCTGGGATCCCATTCCTCTCACCTTTTCTGTGGAGAGGTCTGTCTCACTGTCGTACTTCCTCTGTGTGAAGACGATGGTGAAGACAGCGTGGGACCTGCTGCTGGTCTCGTTCATGTTGGTGGCAGCCACCGTCCTGTAACAGAGTTGACACATTAGTTCAATCACACCAAATGGAAAGATGCGAAACCATCGTATTGAGTAGGAACGAAAAATAGCAGGGAAAAGTAATTGAAATGAGTTTAATGAGATATAAGATTGAGAGAGAGAGGCATGTTGAGAGAGAGGGGAGGATTGCAGAGAGAGAGGATTGTCTGTATTGAGGTATTGGCGCAGCAACGAGAGGCAGGCGTTCTACACTCACTCACTCTCGCTCACTCACTCTCTCATCTCTCACTCTCTGCCTTAGTTCAATCACAAAGGAAAGTGCGAACATCTACTGCATCTAAAAAGTAATAAATGGGTAGATATAGATATAGGCCATGTTTTTTGTCTGATGAGGTATGCGCGCAGCAACGAGGCAGGTTCCACTCACTCACTGCTTCATCAACTCACTCACATCAACCACTCAATCACTCACTCACTCACTACTCACTACTCACTCACTCATCACACCACAGGAGATCACGCTTGAGACTACAGTGACAAGCTACTGCTTAACAAAACAATCAACCATGAAACTACTACTCTACTATACCAGGCTAAAACAGGACCAAATCAGGTTCAGCAACACACTGAAAAGCCTGACTTTTCAAGCAAAACCATTTTTAAGAACTGTTTCTTATTTGATTCTTAAATGCACACAGATTATCATATCATTTATGTCCAACCACCTCCCTCCCCACGCACGCCTCTGTGCATCACAAATGACACACTATTCCCTATTTAGGGACTACTTTTGACCAGGGCCAATAGGGCTCTGGTCAAATGTAGAACACTATTTTGGGAATAGGGTGCCAAGGGCTCTGGTCAAAAGTAGTGCACTATATAGGAAATAGGGTGCGATTTGGGACAAAGCCCCCGGGTAGGTCTCGTCCTGACGCTGACCTGGCCTTGTTGCCGGCGTCCATGAGGTCGTTGATGTCATTATAGGAGGTAACGGCCAGCTTAGACAAGTCCTCCACGTAGGGCCCCAGCAGGGGGTGCTCTCGCACACGCAGGTTCCCTTTGTTCTTCGGGTTGAGCAAGTCCCGCACCCGCTCGCAGTAGATCTCCATGTAGCTGACCTAGAAGTGATTGCATTACAGTATGAGCATCTATGGGCCATTACAGTATGAGCATCTATGGGCCATGGCCGCCTAACGCTATAGTGAAGCCTTGATATCAGAAACATACAGTAACGCTACGGGGTGAAGTTTCCACTACGTACAGATCCGGGATCAACTCCCCCTCCCCCAATCCTAATGCTAAACTCACTCCATATCAGCATCTTGGGGCAACTTTACCCTACAGCAACATGACAGTCAAGAAGAGGTTTTTCCAATCAGGAGTAATGCCATTTATAGTGTTGGAATGCTACTTTTTGTAATGCAGAAGTCACAGTATATGCTCAATATGGATCACTTGGTGTTCCATTTCAGAGACTTGAATTTGCTTAAGCGTTGAGTACACGGAAGATTGAGCTAATATGTGCTGCTAGTAGAGCATTGCTAGGGAAACTCCAATACTTTGAGTTTGCTGTGGATGTGAGAACAAGGTAGAGCTCATACTATCGTAGAGTGGAGTCAGTGCAGGGCTACAATTTGGGAGGGTAGGCCTACATCAGAAAGAGGAGTGAGGAGGGGCTGAGGTAAGGGTCAGAGGGAGAGAGAGGGGGGGTTGGGATAAGCCCCTAAAGCTGTCTGGGACTCACCTCCACTGAGAACGAGATCTCGTCTTTGTTGTTGTCATTGATTTTCTCAAAGAGTTCTTCGCAGAGCTAGAGGCAGAGGAAGAAATGCGTTATTGCCATTTAGGAGCATTCAAAAGAGAGGAGGAAGAGAGAGGAGATGCAGATCGATAGATAACACAAATAACTTGACGGTTAGACGCCAAAGCCAGGGGAGAAATGTCTTAATGCAGTACGTGTTGCCGGCAGAGAAGATGGAATGCATACATGATGTTGCCAATGAGCGAAACGATTGCTTATTAGTGAGCCAAAGCTCTTCTGACCTCTTTGGGATGGGAAGAATTGAATACTCAGGTATTCCAATCAATGTGAACGGTCAGCATGAAACTTCCAAATATGGTTTAAATAAATGGGACAATACTATTGGGCCTTGCTCGTACTCGTATAACTAAGGATATGAGCATAACTAAGGAAATGATCTAGGATGAAGAACCTAAATGTAACAGAATAAATATAATTTGTTTTAGACATTTCTTGAATCTGTTCTAATGGCACCCACAATGGTAGTCTGTGATCATGGAGGCAACTGTGCTCAAGTGAAAATGTTATTGGAATATTGAACTTTGCACAGTTATTTAAGTGAGCTAAGGAGGATGGATATTTGAGGTGAGAGGAGCATACCAGGGGAATGATTCCCTCCTGTCCTTCCTCCTGCCTGCCCATCATGGTGTAGGACTTGCCAGCTCCGGTCTGGCCGTAGGCAAAGATGCAGACATTGTAGCCATCAAAGGCATGCTGCAGCATCTCCTTACCAAGGTCATTGTACACAAGGCTCTGTGAGGCAAAGGTGGGGTCCTCTGGCTGTAAGAGAGAAAGAGAAACATAATATATGCCATTTAGCAGACACTTTCCTCTAAAGGGATTTATAGTCATGCATGCATACATTTTTTCATATGGGTTGCCCCAGCGGGAATAGAACCCACAACCCTTGGCGTTGCAAGTGCCATGCTCTACCAACTGAGCTACACAGGACCAAACTTAAACGCATGTTTATGTCGAACTACAGTACAGTTTATGGTTTGTTTCAATTCAACAGTATGCTGTTTGGCTTAGGCAATGTGCCAATTTGGCAGCCATTTTGGAGGCCATTTAGGATAAAAGCAGCCCCAAAGCAAGAGGAAAGCAATCTCACCGTAGTGTGGGACCAGTAGGAGTGGTCGAAGCTGAAGGACTTTGCTGGGTCCTTTGGGTTCTTGGGGTTGGATATAACTGTTGGGGAGGAGACAAACACATTCATCACAAGGCTGATAACATCTACTGTAAGTGTAAGAATGTGATAAGGTTGACCACTTCCTCTTTGTTATAGTTTAACTTTAAGTAAAATGTATTGCAAAATATTGTATGCATGATGTGGAAGCTTTGGGCTATTTCAATTATTTGGAATTTACTGTATTTGTAAAAAATTATGAATTTTTTGTTGCCTTAGAATACAATCTAGAATTAGAGATATACAAGCATTTAATTGGGGGGGACATTTTTATTTTTATAAAGTATGTAATAGACACAAAATACTATTATTATTATTACTAGCATTTCTGTGATAAATCTTTCCCCCTTTATAAAATAACACCTTTATTTAAAATAATCCAAATGAGATATCTTCAAATGTCAACAGTGAACAGGGTACAACTCAAAACATGGTAGATATCTACTGCAAGACGTGCCACTATATTTCGCCTATTTCCTTGTGGTTGAGAGATCATGCATCTGTCAAGTTCCTGTTCATGAATCAGTGCAGATACTAATGTTGATATATTTGGAAACTAAAGTCACACGACTTACAAGAAACTACTAAGGAGGCACAATGTATTTATGGTCGCTGATCCCAAATAATGAATGATCTGTACCTGGAACAGAAGTCAGCACTATAAAAACATGTTTGCATCCGCAAAACAAAGAATGGCAGTACAGTGGGAATGGCAGTACAGTGGGAATGGCAGTACAGTGGGAATGGCAGTACAGTAATATGCTGTCTCTACACATCACAGCAAAGCTAGCAATGTGTATCACTAATCATTCATCTGACGTGTCACTGTATATGGGATGATAATGTTGACAACATTTCTCCTCTTCCCAGCCTAGCTGGCATGTCAAACACGCCTACTAGGCTGTATCCCAAATGACACCCTATTCCCTACATAGTGGACTGCTTTTGACCAGGCACCATAGGTGTCTGGTCAAAAGTAGTGCACTATGTAGGGAATAGGATGTCATTTGGGACGACATACCCAGTCCCACCAGTACAGATATCCAAGCTTTCCACACCAACAGAAAGCTAAGCCCCTGGTGTAGGGGAGGGAGGAGAGTAGAGTGGGGAGTCCCAGAGGAATGTACTGCAGGGGATATTTGAAAATATTAGCATCCCAGTTGTTGCTTGAAGTCCCCTTGACAGATTGTGCACAAGTTGGCCGGACTTCGGGCCAATCCAGGGGACTTGGCTGAGGCTAGCCAGACAAACGCATACCTCCACCGTCCAAATGGTGGGCCAGGGAGGGGAGGGGAGTGGAGGGCAGGGCAAGGCGAACGGAAAAAAGGATACTGATGTGACGAGAGTGCTCGGGGCCTAGCAACGAACCAAACAGAGTAGCAACAGCAACCGACTCCAGCAGCCCAGACAACTGGGGGAAAAACCCAGCTAGCTATACTGAAGGATCACATCACTCCAAAGACAGTCTGCGATCCAAATGGCACCCTATTCCCTATATAGTGTACTACTTTTGACCAGAGCCCTTTTGACCAGAGCCCAGTCGTTGTTACAATACAGTAATGAGGCCCAGTGTTTGAGCAATGCCATTCATAGTCAATGGGCCAATTAAAGCTAGGTATAGCTACTTCAGCCGAGGGTACTTAAGAGGCGTCTGCACACTGAGAAATCCCCCGCAGTGTGTGTGTGTGTGTGCTCAGTGTGTGTGTGTGTGTGTGTGTGTAGAAGATGGTGGTGCACTGATCAATAATGCAGTGATATGGGGGAGGGAGGGGATTGTATATCATGTCACATGCCGACAGAAAGGCACAGAGTGTCCTCAGAAAAGAGAGAGCAGCGAACTCCATCAACTTTGCATAGTCGACAAGCATACCTCGCTCGATTTAGGCCTCCGTAGCCTATATTAGACTCTTAAGGGCAGTACCAAAATGGTGCAGGTAAGAGTTTAATTCTATCCTCGCTAATCATCTAGTCACAGGTCTACGTCCCCTTGAGCTGGCCAGCTTCCATAGCTTCCTTTATGGGCACTGACGAGAGGGGGCTAAATTAAGCCCGATCTCACCTTTGACCCGGGTCCAATGGGAAACTGGAGCCCCAGGGGTGGAAATGTACGGGATTTACGTTACAGACGCCCCTTATTACCCCTTTCCTGGAACAATCCACATGGGCTATTAATGAGCCTAAGCTCTATTCCAATGCCACGCCGCCCACTCAGCAGTAAAAACAGGCTGATGATGGCACCATCCCAAATGGTACCCTATTCCCTTTATAGTGCACTACATTTGACCAGGGCTCATAGGGAATATGGTGCCATTTGGGACGCAGCTGATGAGTCTGGGCCTGGAGAGGCTCCCAGCTCCAGGTTCGGGCATGAGGACAGTTACAGGCGCTAGCCAAGGCTAGCCAATGCTCACTCTCACATCTGTTCCTGGTCTACCGTACAGTATGTAGCCTTACTAGGGCACAGGGCGCCACTCCAACAGGTCAAAAGGCTGAGGGATTCGTCCCTTATAGTTTTATTACACCTGTCTGGGCGCACGTCATTAAATTCATTCTATTCAAGTTGGCAGTCAAGGAGAAGAGGAGATGAGGAAAGTGGGCTATTATTGTGGGGAGCTATCATTGGGACTGGGACACACTAGACCAGTATCCCAGACACAGGTTATAAACCTTGTCTTGGACTAAAAAGGACTTTTAATGGGATTCTCCACTTAGCAAGTGAGCATGCTTCTTAGTCCAGGTCTAGGCTTAATCTGTGTCCGGGAAAACGGCCCACAGAATCTGTGGCTAAGATAGGCCTGGCGGACCTTCCTCGTCAGTGAGGAAGATGGCTCAATCACTACAGCCTGCATTAGAGGGAACGCACGTTCTTGGAGGTGATTCATGCTCACGACGCAGCCGGCCACAGCGCCTCTGCCCACTCCCTCCCTCCCTCCCTCCCTCCCTTCCTCCCTTCCTCTCCCCATCCCTCTCAGTAGAACATAGCTCCCTCCTATCCATCTGGCCTTAGCCATGCGTCACTCTAATAGGGCCAGGATTTCAAAAAAGAAAAAGGAGGGAGGCAAGTCTGTTGGAAGAGGAACAACTTTAAAAGCAGACAGATGGGAAAGTCGATCAATATAGACAGCAGAGGTAGCCTATAAGTCTTCCCCAGTTCTGGCGAGCGACCACACCTATACACATGTAACTTGAAATCATAATTCTTCACTGTATTCTCTTTCCTTTAGGGGTGGGGCTAAGGTGACACATCATCCACCTATGGGAAGCTGGCAGCAGGATACAGGGACTCTTTATTCTGAGAAAAAAATTAGAATAATGATCCACCATTCTCCTCAACTACTCCTGATGAACCCCTCACAACTCTCATCAACAACACAAAGTGGTCATCATCACATGTCCAAGGGAGAGAGTGTTTGACCTGGATGTCCTGCAGCTCCTGAGCCATAGTTAATAAGACAGGGGGCATACTGTGTGTGACAGGGAGAGTGCTCCATTTAATGCACCATGACTCACCTACCCTGCCCTTCGGTCTCATCGTTGGATTATCAATCACGCTGTGCAGTGTGTACGAGTTGTGTGTACGTGTTATAGGAAATCTTTGAATTGTGTTAATCACTGGCTTTTAGAAGATAGAATGAAAAAAACCGTAATATCCGGTATATTCATCAATACACACATCCTATCAAGAGAATGGAAAATATAGGCACCCACAGGTTTCTTTTTTTGTTGCAATATACTGCACAGAATCAAATCCTGAATTTAAAATGGCAGACATGTCCTTCTGTCTAATCAATGACGTCATCACCGTCTCTGCCCCACTCAACCATAGCAACAGGTACAGAACTGGATTCTGGTTGCCATGACAACCCTGCTGCTGTACATTGCTTTCTGTGTTTTTTTTCTCTCATTCTCCCCCTCTCGACGTTCCACTTTGCCTTGTGCGGAAAAATTATCTTGAGAGTAAATCCAGGTTTATGGACAATTATGACATTATTTTTCCACAGTGGTATATTCAGCATTCAAATCCATAATACTCGGCTAAACACGTAAAAGGCACACCGTGAAAGTGTTAGGATTTGTAAGTACAACATTAAGCTACTTAAGATGACAGCCTCTATACATCGGGGCCCATATTCATAAAGCCTTTCAGAGTAGGATCTTTCACACTCACCACACACGCTGCTGCTCCACATACACTGCTGCTACAGCGCAGTCTATTATCTATCCTGTTGTCTAGTCACTTTACCCCTACCTACATGTACATATAGCCCCTGGTTCACCCCAGACTTGACTGCCCTTGACCAGCACAAAAACATCCTGTGGCGTACTGCATTAGCATCGAACAGCCCCCGCGATATGCAACTTTTCAGGGAAGTCAGGAACCAATATACACAATCAGTTAGGAAAGCAAAGGCTAACTTTTTAAAACAGAAATTTGCATCCTGTAGCACTAACTCCAAAAAGTTTTGGGACACTGTAAAGTCTATGGAGAATAAGAGCACCTCCTCCCAGCTGCCCACTGCACTAGGCTAGGAAACACTGTCACTACCGATAAATCTACGATAATCGCAAATTTCAACAAGCATTTTGCTACGGCTGGCCATGCTTTCCACCTGGCTACCCCTAACCCGGCCACCAGCTCTGCACCCTCCGCTGCAACTTGCCCATGCCCCCCCCCCGCTTCTCCTTCACCCAAATTCAGATAGCTGATGTTCTGAAAGAGCTGCAAAATCTGGACCCCTACAAATCAGCTGGGCTAGACAATCTGGACCCTTTCTTTCTAAAATTAGCCGCCGAAATTGTCGCAACCCCATTACCAGCCTGTTCAACCTCTCTTTCGTATCGTCTGAGATCCCCAGAGATTGGAAAGCTGCCGCGGTCATCCCACTCTTCAAAGGGGTTGACACTCTAGATCCAAACTATTACAGACTTATATCCATCCTGCCCTGCCTTTCGAAAGTATTTGAAAGCCAAGTTAACAAACAGATCACCGACCATTTAGAATCCCACCATACCTTCGCCGCTATGCAATCTGGTTTCCGAGCTGGTCATGGGTGTACCTCAGCCACGCTCAAGGTCCTAAACGACCTTGGCCAGGTCTTCATTGACCTGGCCAAGGCTTTTGACTCTGTCAATCACAGCATTCTTATTGGCAGACTAAATAGCCTTGGTTTCTCAAATGACTGCCTCGCCTGGTTCACCAACTACTTCTCAGATAGAGTTCAATGTGTGAAATCGGAGGGCCTGTTGTCTGGACCTCTGGCAGTCTCTATGGGGTGTGCCACAGGGTTAAATTCTCGGGCCGACTATTCTCTGCGTATATCAATGATGTCGCTCTTGCTGCTGGTGACTCTCAGATCCACCTCTACGCAGACGACACCATTTTGTATACATCTGGCCCTTCATTGGACACTGTGTTAACAAACCTCCAAACGAGCTTCAATGCCATACAACACTCCTTCCGTGGCCTCCAACTGCTTAGTAAAACTAAATGCATGCTCTTCAATCGAACGCTGCTTGCACCCACCTGCCCGACTAGATTCACTACTATCGGCGGGTCTGACTTAGAATATGTGGACAACTACAAATACCTAGGTGTCTGGTTAGACCGTAAACTCTCCTTCCAGACTCACATTAAGGATCTCCAATCCAAAGTTAAATCTAGAATCGGCTTCCTATTTCGCAAAAAGCCTCCTTCACTCATGCTGCTAAACATGCCCTCATAAAACTGACTATCCTACCGATCCTTGACTTCGGCGATGTAATTTACAAAATAGCTTCCAACCCTCTACTCAGCAAATTGGATGTAGTCTATCACAGTGCCATCCGTTTTGTCACCAAAGCCCCATATACTACCCACCATTGTGACCCGTACGCTCTTGTTGGCTGGCCCCCACTACATATTCATCGCCAAACCCACTGGCTCCAGGTCATCTATAAAATCACTTCTAGGCAAATCCCCGCCTTATCTTAGCTCATTGGTCACCATAGCAACACCCACCCGTAGTATGCGCTCCAGCAGGTATATCTCACTGGTCATCCCCAAAGCAAACACCTCCTTTGGTCGCAATTCCTTCCATTTCTCTGCTGCAAATGACTGGAACTAACTGCAAAAATCTCTGAAGCTGGAGACACTTATCTCCCTCACTATCTTTAAGCATCAGTTGTCAGAGCAGCTTACCGATCACTGCACCTGTACACAGCCCATCTGTAATTAGCCCACCCAACTACCTCATCCCCATATTGTTATTTACATTATTTATTTTGCTCATTTGCACCCCAGTATCTCTATTTGCACATCATCTTCTGCACATCTATCACTCAAGTGTTAATTATTTTGCACTATGGCCTATTTATTGCCTTACCTCCATAACTTACTACATTTGCACACACTGTATGTAGATTTTCTATTGTGTTATTGACTGTACATTTTGTTTACCCCATATGTAACTCTGTTGTTGTTTTTAATCGCACTGCTTTGCTTTATCTTGGCCAGGTCGCAGTTGTAAATGAGAAATTGTTCTCAACTGGCTTACCTGGTTAAATAAACGTTAAATTAAAAATACATAAGAAAATAGCTACCTCAATTACCTCGTATCCCTGCACATCGACTCGGTACTGGTAGTCCCTGTATATAGCCATGTTATTTTTTACTTGTTATTGTTATTCGTTATTTACTGTTATTTCCTGATCTAGAACCAGTTTTGCCTTTCAGATCAGGGGGATCTGATCCTAGATCAGCACTCCTACTCTGAGACGCTTTATGAATACTGGCTCTGAGTCTACACATTTAATAAAAAGAAACTAACAGGGTCTTTCAGAATATCAAGATAAAATACAGTACAATTTCAATAAAGGCACTCCATGTTTGACTTGCTAAATTGTCCTTCACACTGGGGCATGAAAACATGATTTATGTGAAATGGAAAGGAGTCTAAATGGACTTATTGATCAGGATGATCATCAGTTTCCTCTTCCAGAACCTATAGGTTGTCTGATGTGATGCTGGGGGGCTCCAATTTAGTGTGAGTGAGTGAGACACTAACAACCAGCTGGGTGATGCTGGCAGCCATTTTGTGACAGGATGCTCAACAAGTAATTTGGCTCTACATGTTTTTGAGCCCCAGATGGTGACAGAGAGGCAGCACTCATTCACCTGAGACTACCAGCCAGGCGAGGCAGGGCCTAAAATGGCTGAACGCATCTGCCTCTCCGATGACCCTCCAAGGACCTGCTAGCCTCTACTGGTCTCGATCAATACCCACTAGTGAACGCACCGCTGACTGTGCTCGCAGTGTTATAGGGAGCGAAAGTTACTAGATAAATTCATATTTAAGAACAAAACTGAAGCAAAACAAATGCCTTAACTGCCTAAAAAAGGACCCAGATATTCATTTAAATAATAAACTGTGAGAACTGTAATTACCTTATGTTCCTTTCTACGAGGCAGAGGAATGTTTATGATTTCCCTGGGGCCTGTGTGCATATGGACAGAGTAAGGTAACGGTTCAATCCCTGAATACATTATTTCAGTGAATATATCCACCAGCTAATACTATGTGTCAACTGCACACGTGTGTTACTGTTTAGTTTCTGTTTATCCATGATTGGCCCAGTAAAAAGGCACAGCCCTGAGTCTGTTTTAAAACGGAGGGTGAGCAACACTGATACCTATCCCTCCATCTAAAGAGGAAACAGAAGAGGACAGGGCGCATTCTGACTCGCCCCCCCGCAGACATACTCAGCGTGCTGTTCTCAATCTGTTTGGCAATGGTCTGCTTGTCCGACAGGTCGCCCAGGGCCTTAGCACAGGTGGTAGAGTTTTCACTGGCCACAGCTCAACGCTACGGGCTCAAACTAGTGTCTGACCAATGGCCGTATGATCTCGACAAACAGCTGAGCGTGTCACAGCCACAACACGGGACTCACAACTTTTCCAAAACAGAGAACAAGCCATGTGTGGAATTTGTATTAGGGCCTTGGATACAGCACATACTAGT